CGGGCCCGGGAGCGCTGCACCCGCTGGGAAGGGGCCGCGGGGGAGCCTGCGAGGCCCGCAGCTCCCTGGCAGGAGGCTGCGGCCCGGCCTCTGCTCCCGGGCAGGCAGCGGCAGGAGGAGAGGACACGGCCTCGAGCTGCGCCAGAGGAGGTTTAGGGTGGGCAGTGAGATGAATTTCTTGAGAAAGGGTGATCGGACATTGGAACGAGCTGCCCAGGGAGGCGGTGGTGGAGTCACCGTCCCTGGAGGTGTTTTAGGGAAGGCTGGACGTGGCACTCGGTGTCTGACCGACACCGCGGTGTTCTGTCCTGGCTTGGACCCGATGACCCCAGAGGTCTTTCCCAACCCGCTTGATTCGGTGATTCTGTTAAGTATTTCTGATTTATTGAACTATTTCTGATTTATGGAGTGTACCGTGAGCTAGAGCATCTCCACCCATGGCTTTCCATCCCAGGTTCATGGCCACATTCAGGGCTGGGGAGCTGCCGTGCTGGTGCAGCAGCCCTGGGAAGCACACAGGTGCCAGAGGCCAAGTGTTGCTCCTGAGCTGGGCTGTGATTTCCCTCTTTGTCAGATATTTCCCCTATTTTTGCCTGAAGATGCTTCCCAGTAGTGCTTGGGCTTCCCTGTGCACTGTGGTGACACCCAGTTGTGGTAGAAACCCCTGTGACCCTGCCTGCCATAAATACCCCCCAGCACCCTGCAGGTAAATCACCACCCTGGTTTTTACTTTCTCTTTTTTTTTTTTTTTATCAACTCTATATGGCCTTGTGATATATTCTTTTATATCAAATCATATGTAATACATCACTGAATCCTTGCATCCACACAGAATCAAACTGCAGACCAGTGCCCTGTTAGCAGGAGGAGAGGGTGTGGGAATTGGCAGGGTGCTGCTGAATTCCAGTTTCAAGAGGTGGATCCCTTTCCTGGGATGGGCAGAGTGGATTTCATCCCTCCTGGCTGAAGCTCCCTGTAAGTTCTCTGGGATAAACCAGGTAACCACCAGGATGAGCCAGTCCATTTTGGGGGTGGGATGGCTCACCTCTGCATCTGCCTGTTTCTTTGCTTTTCAGAAAACCAAAAATGAAAAGACCCTGCGAATTTTACATCCCAATCCACTGAACCTGGGAGCAGCCCTTTTCATTTTGTACCGTACAGGGCTCACTGCATGCTGCCTTCTTGACATCAGGGAAGATGCTCCTGGATCCACCAGGAAAAAAGTCCTGGCTTCACTCCAGTACTTCAGCAAAATCCTGTTCCTTTTCTCTAGGCATTGATGGGAGCTTGCTGCTATCTTAAATGCAAGATCAGCCCCAGTCCTGTCCTTCCTCTGTTCATTAAAATACATTGATTTAAACCTGTTGCTCTCTTTCTACAGCTCAGCTCTGCTGTGATCCCACATCCAACACCTGCAAGCCAAACATAGCCTAGATCATCTCTGGATAGGACTGGGGCAACTTTTGTACAGCTGTCATTTTAAAGGATAATTACAAGCATGACTTACAGGATAATAAGCAGAGATAAAACTAATTCCAGTAACCCATCTCACTGTGGTGGAACCAGGGGAAAAACTCCTTTTCTGCGGTTTATGGGAGGAAGGGAACAGTTGAGACTGAGCGCTGGTGCTGTCGTTGTCACTGAGGAGGTAACCAGAACGAGTCTGTCCAAAACCAGCAAAGTTTGGTAAAGCTTTTGAGCTAGATTAAACTCAGGGAGAGGTTTATCTGCTTGTGCAGCCTCCTGAATCACCAGCTGGGGATGCGCAGGGAGCGGCAATTTTGGGTTGAGTAGACAGAGGAACGTCAAAGAGAGGTCTAACTGCCCCAAATGACAAAGAACCTTTTGCTCCCCCAGTGCCTGATGTCACCATCTCAGCCAGGGCATTCAGCATCTTCCAGGAACCCAGGGCTGCATCACAAAGGAACAACGGGATAGAGGCACCAAACCCCTGCCTGGTTTTATGCCTCATAAACAAACTGCCTCGTAAATATGCCTTGTAAATAAAATAAATAAATACAGTAGTAGTGATTTCCTTTGGTTTCATCAGCTGAGAAGCTTACACCAATGTGAGATGCTGCCAAAAGTACTGGTCCTGTCCCTGCCCTTACTCCAGCCTTTCTCCCCATCCTGGTTTTGGCTCAGCACTGTCAGTTTTTGGCTGGGCTCATTCCGGCTTGTAGGTTGGTGGTGACAAGGGGAGGTGGAAAAGCTCTTCTGGAGCTGAAGCATCACCCTTTCATCCCACTCATTTATTTCTTCCTTAGCCCTCCTTATGAAATTTCCCACTGAGGACATTTATTTTCCCTCTCTCCTTTTTTTTTCAGCCACTTCATTTATTGCCAATGAACTGATTTGTTCAAGCTGAGAAGGGTCAGCAGATAATGGAAATACATGTTTATGGGGAAAAGACAGTGCAAATGCCAAGGAAATATGGCTGGGAGGCAGCTGGAAAGCCAAGGTGTAAACATTTTAATTTACTGACTAGGGAAGAATAGAAAAATCTTTGTTTTTGTTATTGTCCAAATAATATAAATGGTAACGAGCTGCTTTATGGCCATTTCTTTGTTAGTAATATATAATAGTAATATATTATATATATATATATTTATATATATTTATATATATTTAGAGATGTATGTATAATATATATATGATATCAATACATAATACAAATACATTATATATAATATTGTAACATGTATATATGTAATGATACATATATATAATGATATGCATATATGTAGTAATATATATTATTTCTATATCTTATGTATATTATACACATATATTTTTCTATATTATATAAACATATCTTTACAACTTCACCTACAATATAAATCCAGGAATTTATATTATATACATATAATTCCAGGTGCATCCAGCAACGTAGACATGATACACACAGGGATCCCCAAGGATGTGTGTGTGTGTATGTAATATAAACATCTATTACTTAAATGTTTCTATATATTTAATCTATATACATTTATATTATGGATGTGCTAGAAATGATACAATATTATACTATATATATATAGTGTATCTATATATTATATACAGTATTATACAATACAATATACAGGTCTAGAAAACCTGTATAATGCGTATAGTTATATATTGTAATTTTTCTTTTTATTTGACTTTTTTTCTTTTTTAAATCTGAATGTTGGCCCAGAAGGACAGTGAGTGACTGGCAGCAGTAAAAGGCCACCTCTGGGCCCCCTTGGGTGGGGCACACGGGGCACGGTTGCACCTGAGCTCTGCCGGCTCCTGTTTATCCAGCAGCCGCCCGACACATTCCCGGTTGCTCCGGAGCTTTGTTTCCTGACCAACACCCATTTGCAGTATTTCCCAAACAAGCGGAGGCTCATCAGCGAGCACCATCGCTCCCACTCCCTCTTCCAATTGTCCCTGCGGGCTGGGGAGCAGTCGAGTCCAAGCAGTCCGCGCTCGGGCATCAGCCGGGGAGGACGTAAAGCATTAACGAGTTTAATAGCACCCAACAGATCAAAGGTTTCAAAGTGCAGCATTGAAAAATATCCCTGTGGCACCGGTCTGTGATACCCCAGGGCTTCAACATGAGGTGCAGAAACCTGTCACTGCCTTCTTCTGAATTCCTTCCTATTTAAGAAGGGATAAAAATTCACATTTCATTTCATTTTAGTTTAAGAAATGGGATTCTCCCTACCCATGCCGTGCTCACATAGCCATTGTTCAACTCCACCTGGTTCAATGCTGGAACAAAATAAAATATAAAATTAAATTAAATTAAGATAATATTTTTAATTCTATGCCTTTCTCTCTGTCTCTTTTCCATGTTTAAAGCAAGGACACACAGCACACCTTTGCAGCAACAGCTGAAAGCCACTGAATCAGAAATAAGCCTGGTTGCACCTAAAAATCTCCTGTTGACAGCCTCAGCAGGGGCCATCTACAGGTTTTGGGTGCTCCCCCTTGGAGCAGCAGCATTCTTGAAAAGTAACTTATCCAAAGAGGAGTGGAGCAGAGGCTTTGAGGGCAGGCTCTCCGGGTTTGGTGGGGGTTCGGTGGTGCTGGGAATGGCTGGAGCTGCTCAGGCCTCACAAGGGAATGGGGGTTATTTCACCCACAGATAGGCTGGACAAAAGGTCTGGAATAATTCAGGGTCTATTTTTACCTCCCTTCTTGCAGGAATTTTGTGGTGGCTGGCGCCTGGTGGCATGCCGGCACGCAAAACGCGCTCCTGGCGTGGGGCTGGGAGGGGGTGTTGGGAACAACGCAGCCCTCTCTGGTCTGGAGGTGCTGGGGGAAGACAGCCAGAGGGGAAAGCAGGGTTTCTATAGGTCCTGTCCTGCCAGCTGCTTCTCTGCGTGCTGGAAGCCTTTTTACTGTTTTTTCACAGGAAACAAAACCCTCCCGACAAGCCCTTATGACAAATGACAGATGAGTCTTGTCCTTATCGCCACCCGGTTGTCACCCCTTCACATTTGCCCCTGGACCTATTCCCACCGCTATAATTAACAGCAAATCAGGTGTCAGCTTGCTCTGTTGGACACAGCCGTGGAAATTCTTGGCACGGTTCTCTTCCTTTCAGGGCTGGAAGCCAAGTGCTGGAGACATGGGAGAAAAAAGGCTCATTACGCCTGCAGCGGGGTGAGAGCCTTCCCCTTCCTCCCCTGCACACCCAGGACTGGATCCAGGACCTAGTTCAGACCCATCTGTGTGCCCACCCAGCAATCCCAGGAGGGGAGAGCCTTGCAGGGCCATGCCAGGCTCATTCACCTCCCAAGGTTTGCAGGGTGGTCAGGCAGGCTCCCTGGCTGGGGCATGGTGGTGGACCTTGGAATGCTGGTGCTGAGGGCCTGCCCTGGAGGTCTGCAAGGAATGGGGCTCAGCCACTGGGTGATGAGCCTCCCTTGCTGCCCCACTGAGGCTGACTGTGACATCAAAACTTCCTAGCCCAGAGGATTAGGGACTAACACTGCTGGTCACTCCTCCTGTGGGTTCAGTGAAACATCTCAGCAGGATTTTGGTGCCTGCCTGGCAGCTGGAGGCAAGGGGAGACTGGTGGTTTCCAGGTCACTCTGCTTGGCCAAGTGGAGCATGAGGAGGTGTTTGACCAGCCAGTAATTTGGTCTGAAGTGTTGGACATGCAGGAAGAAAGGACATGCACTGGGGCATGGTGAACCTGGCTATGAAAAGCACCAAACAGGTGAGTTAAGAACAAGACTGAAGGAGTTACTGTAGTTTTTCAGGTTTTTCTACCAATAGACCAAGGGGTTTTTCTAAAGAGTCATGGATCTGCAGAAAAACAGAGGCCAGGAAGGAGCTCTAGATCTGGGACCTCTGGAGCTCCGGACCTCCAACTCCTGCTGGATCAGGTTGCTCAGGGCCAAGGTTATCATATCCCAAGACAGATATTCCACGTCCTCATTGGGCTCCATTGTTGGATCACTCTCATGGAAAACACGTTTGTTCCTGATATCCTACTGAAATTTATCTTCTTCAACCTTGTGCCCACTGCCCCTTGCATAACATCTGAGAAGAGCCTGGCTCCAATTCTGTTTCTGCTCTGGCATTCACTTTTGCTGGGCTGGTTGAGGTTCCTGATGGACCCTTTCTATGGCTGAAGTTGTCTGGTTATCATCTCTGGATTGCTCCTGTTCTCGATCACGTGGGAGAAACTTAAACTACTGACATGTCTTAATAAAATATCTCAGATTAAGAAAACAGGAAATATCTTCAAGCAGTTAAGGAACACATGCCTAAACACACTAGTTTATGCTTCATCCAACAAGATGCAGAGAATTCTAATTTTTATTTCGAAGTTTAACAGTAAGTTTTAAAGCAAGGTTAATTTAAGGTAACATTAGAATCTGGATGAGAAGGGAAGTATGTAATATTCTCATAGAACTGAGCAGCAGCAGAGGCTTAAGGTGAAAGAGAAGGTTAACCCTTAGTTATGGGGTGATTTAACCACAAATTAGAACAGCAGGTTTATCTGTACTAAAAATGCCCATCTCCTATTCCCAGCTATCCCAAAAAATAATTTGGCTGCATACTTACTCAACAACTACCTCCATATCTATTTCTTCCACGTGCAATTCTGTATTAACCACGCGATATCAAATACAAAGAGGCACAAACAAGAGCAAAACAAAATCTAAGCTTCCTTCTAACTGCTACTGAGTTTATTAACCTGCACACACACATTAATCCCTGAGGCAAACAGGGAGCAGAAATGCACAGGAAAGACCTACTGGCACCATTCAATGCTCTGTTTGTCCAGCAGCCCTTCCCTCCCATGTGCTGGGATTGTGCCCAGGCTTCTGCAGCAACCTCAAGCTTTGCAAAACTCTCTTCCCACCAATGTTCCCTCCAGAGAGATTACTTTTTTTTCCCAATTCACCACATTTCTGAATATTTTTTCTTGTGAAACAATACAACAGAGTTTGTCCCAGAGAAGGAATGGTGCTCTTCAGCCAACTCTAGTCCTGCAACACGGCAAAACCAAGCAGAAGACCAGCCCCAGTGTGTCCACGTGATCCTTTTTCCCCCTTGAAATGCATAAAATAAATTAATTTTGGTTTTATTTCTTGCAATGGTTGTTCCCTTTATTGGTAGATCACCAGCCTCCTTCCCTGGCACGTGCAGGATTATATGAGCCACTGCTGGAGTAAGGAACAAAATGTCACCTGTTTTCAAGCATATAAAAACCTCTCAAGGCCACCAGATCTTTTCTGGGCCCATGGTTCAAGTGGCAGAAGCCTATCCCTTGATGGTGGTGCTGCCAAACACCCTGAGGGTGGGGCAGCCCAAAGGGCCAGTGGCAACCTCCCGCTTTCCACCTGTGCCACATCCTCGGCGCCGCTGCTGAGGGACAGGGAGGAACAATCATGACTCGCTGCTTTGCTTTGTGTTAGCTGCAGGCTGGGGTGACAGGATTAGGAAAATCCAATGGAAAGCCACAACCAGAGCTGCTGCATCCCAAAATTCCACCAGTGACGTGGGGCTCCCCAGCAGCCAAATGCCTCCCCAC